GAGGTAGCTGTCGACTCTCGTCCTGCTGGGGGTGCTGAGCCTGGGGGTGCTGAGCCTGGGGGTGTGGAGCCTGGGGGTGTGGAGCCTGGGGGTGTGGAGCCTGGGGGTGTGGAGCCTGGGGGTGTGGAGCTTGAGGGTGCTGAGCTTGGGGGTGTGGAGCCTCGTGGTGCTGAGCTGCGGAGTCCGGAGTCTGGGGGTTCTGTGTCTGGAGGTACTAGGCCTGGGAGTCCTGCACCTGGAAGAGCCCTCTCCTCGGAGCAGCTGCGTGCGTGGTACTTAGAGTACTGCAGCCTCCGGAGAGGTACCGCTCGAGCCGGACGTACTACTGGGACTGGTGCAAGTGCTTCTTCTCCCGTTCGGGAGCTCCCCTCCCGCGAGCGGATCCGTGAGTGGTACGAGCGGCGCTGCACTCTTCGGAGTGGCGTGCCTTGTGTTACGGACCTCGCTGCTGTTGGAGCTGCTGCTGGTGCTGAGGACCCGGGCGTTGGAGCTGCTGCTGGTGCTGAGGACCCGGGCGTTGGAGCCGCTGCTGGTGCTGAGGACCCGGGCGTTGGAGCTGCTGCTGGTGCTGAGGACACGGGCGTTGGAGCTGCTGCTGGTGCTGAGGACCCAGGCGCTGGAGCCGCTGCTGGTGCAGAGGACCCGGGCGTTGGAGCTTCTGCTGGTGCTGAGGACCCAAGCGTTGGAGCTGCCGCTGGTGCTGCGGACCCGGGCGTTGGAGCTGCTACTGGTGCTGAGGACCCGGGCGTTGGAGCTGCCGCTGGTGCTGAGGACGTGGGCGCTGGAGCTGCTGCTGGTGCTGCGGACCCTGTTGCGGGTGTCCCTGCTGGCTCTGGTGTCGCTGCTCGGTCTCGGCCGTACTTTGTTCCGCTCCTTCAGCAGGTTCTTGGTCAGCTTCCTCCTCCTTTTTCTCCTCCCTCCTTAGCGTGTCCTCCGCCAGTCCAGCTTCAGTCGGCGTTACCGTCTGCCTCCTCTCTCCCTGGTCCTGCTCCTTACACTGGTCTGACTGGAGGTCTTACTGAGCGGCATGAGCCTGCGTCTCGTCCTGCGTCGCCTGCGTCTCGTCCTGAGTCGCCTGTCCGCACTGCTCTCTCTAGTAGTCGAGTCCAGCGTCAGCGTCTTCCTGCTGTCCCAGGCACTCGCCGGATGGCGCTTCGTCCGTCTACTGCTCCACAGCGTGTCCCACTGCCGTCTCCTCCTGCTTCCTCTCTTCCTGCTCTTGCTGACCCTGGGTCAGACTCTCTTCGTGCTACCAGTCCTACTGTCACGCGTCTCCTGGCTACTATTGTCACTGACCCTTCCTTTGAGTCTGCTGTTGCGTCTGCCTTAGTTGCTGAGCTTGTCGACTTTGCTGCTCGTTGTCGTCTAGACTACGCTGCTAGCCTAGTTGCTGAGTCTGAATCTGTCTGTCCTCCGTCCGTCGGGGGTGAGTGTGCTCTTGGCACTGACGTCCTTGAGGACACGCAGGACGAGTTTGAGTGCTTTGCTGCCGCTTTGCCCCATCTCGTGTCCATGCTTGTTGCCCCTGAGGGAGACCCGGATGCACCAGACATCCCGACCCCACGCTCTTACGCAGAGGCGATGGCCGGTCCCTACTCCTCTCAGTGGCAGTCAGCCATGGACACAGAGATGGCTTCCTGGAAGTCCACAGGCACCTACGTCGACGAGGTTCCCCCACCTGGGGCGAACATCGTCAGTGGCTTGTGGATTTTCAGGGTGAAGCGGCAGCCGGGCTCTCCGCCTGTCTTCAAGGCGCGTTACGTTGCACGAGGCTTCAGTCAGCGAGAGGGAGTTGACTTCTTCCAGACCTTCTCCCCGACCCCGAAGATGACCACTCTTCGGGTTCTGCTGCACGTCGCCGCTCAGCGTGACTACGAGCTCCACTCGCTTGACTTCAGCACTGCTTTCCTGCAGGGCAGCCTGCACGAGGAGATCTGGCTGCGCCGTCCACCTGGCTTCACTGGGTTGTTCCCTCCTAGTACCCAGTGGAGCCTCCGACGGCCAGTCTACGGTCTCCGCCAGGCGCCTCGTGAGTGGCACGACACACTGAGGACTACGCTTGCGGCTCTTGGGTTCGCGCCTTCTACTGCTGACCCGTCGCTGTTTCTACGCACCGACACCTCACTGTCGCCGTTCTACGTCCTTGTGTACGTCGATGACTTGGTCTTTGCTACTGCTGACACTGTGGCACTCGCCCACGTGAAGTCGGAGCTGCAGAAGAGACACACGTGCACAGACCTGGGTGAACTGACAAGCTATCTTGGCTTGCGGATCACCCGGGACAGAGCACGCCGCACCATCACCTTGACTCAGTCACACATGGTGCAGCAGGTCCTTCAGCGCTTCCGCTTCACGTACTCCTCGCCTCAGCCCACTCCTCTGCCTACCGGTCACTCGCTCTCAGCTCTGCCTTCGGATGAGTCCGTAGAGCCGAGTGGCCCGTATCCAGAGCTTGTGGGTTGCCTCATGTACCTGATGACTTGCACTCGACCAGACCTTGCATACCCTCTCAGCATTCTTGCACGCTATGTCGCTCCCGGCCGTCACCGGAAGGAGCACATGGATGCAGCTAAGAGGGTGTTGCGCTACTTGTGCAGTACGTCGGGCATGGGGCTAGTGCTTGGAGGGCGAGTCCCAATTGTTCTCACTGGACACTCAGACGCTTCTTGGGCAGACAACCAGGCTACTCTGCGGTCGTCTCAGGGTTACTCCTTCAATCTTGGCTCTGGTTCTGTTTCTTGGCGTTCTACTCGCTCTTCTTCTGTTCTCAGCTCCAGTTGTGAGGCTGAGATCTACGCCACAGCCATGGCGGCCCAGGAGCTACGCTGGCTCACCTACTTGCTGACCGACCTTGGAGAGCAGCCTCGTTCTCCTCCAGTGCTGTACGTCGACAACAAGGCAGCCATTGCCTTGTGTGAGGAGCACAGACTGGAGCACAGAACGAAGCACATTGCTCTGCGTTACTTCCTTGCTCGAGAGCTGCAGCAGCGTGGTCAGCTTCGCGTGCGTTACGTGGCCTCTGAGGCCAACAGTGCTGATGTGTTCACCAAGGCGCTTCACCCTTGTGACCATCAGCGCTTTTGCACTCTTCTAGGCCTTGTGCCTACTGGACCTCACTTGCTTACTTCTTGAGTCTGTTTGTACTGTGATCTCTATATATATACTGCATGTTTACTCTTGTTAGGTTGTGATCATTGTACCTTTTGCTCTATTATAAACCTGCATGTGAACTGGTCTTGTGACCACTTGCTTGTGCTCGGAATTTGTGTGGTATCCTTGAGATCCACCCTGAGCTTGTTTTGCCTTGCTTTGCCTTGACTGGTCTTGTGACCCCTAGTTCTCCCCCACTTTGCCTATGGGGGTGTGTCAAACATTATATATGTTGTGTTAGTTTAGGCTACAGTGGGTTAGCCTAGAGGGGGTACACAATTCTAGGGTTAGGTACTTGTACTCATTTCACTGCTAGTTCATTCATTCCTGTTCAGTGATTCCAACATCTCGATCTTCCGCATGCTCTATATGAGCTATTGCGATACTGATACAGACGCGTTGCTTTCTTTGGAGTGACGAGTGGGAGGAGAGCCTTCGGGAATGTTACGATAACCTTTCGGTCATTCCAACAGCGAGGATTGCACTAAATCGGCAAACGAGTGCGAGATGTGAGCGAAGGTATGAGCAAACATATATAGGGGAAACATACAAACCGTAACGTAGTGCTGGCGAGCTAGCTAGTGCAATGCTGGCAGCAAGGTTCGGGCTGGTCTCGAAGCGGAGGAATGGTGATAATTTCATAGAATGTGAGACAAATCAGGTGAACAACTTAGGGCTGTCAGAGGTCCACTGGTGATCCCCGATTGATCCTAGGGAAGGGTTACAGGCATGTTGGCCTGGGGGGTTATGGGCGCACTGACCCGCTACTGAAACAAGCCCTTTTATCCCAATGGTCTAGTGGTTGGGATTCTGACATGGTATCAGAGCGAAGGTCTCGGGTTCGAATCCTGGTGTGTGCACTTCGGGCATCTCAGTGCGGGGGGGTGTCAGAGGTCCACTGGTGATCCCCGATTGATCCTAGGGAAGGGTTACAGGCATGTTGGCCTGGGGAGTTATGGGCGCACTGACCCGCTATTGAAACAAGCCCTTTTATCCCAATGGTCTAGTGGTTGGGATTCTGACAAGGGCGCGTAACCATTCTTACCCGACGGTTCGAACCGTGGACCGTCCAGGTAGCGAAACGGCAACAAGCTTCGCACAATGTCGAAATCATGTTCGCTGAGGTGTTGGCGACATCGCCAACAAAACGGACTGTAGTGACACTTTTTCCCACTTCAACGGTCCGAAATCTGAACCGTGGACGGTCCGAATCCCAAACGGACTGTCTGACAGTCCTTGCACACGATTGGAGGGCGACGCAAAAACTGTCGAGTCACCTCGTCCACCAACAAAAACGTACGAGGCTACTTCACGAATCGACATCGACCAACCAGAGACAACCCATAAACAAAAATGATTCGATTACGACATTTGCGAGCTTAAAAGAACTGCGTAACGCTTTCGCAGTGATCGCGAAACTGTACATTATGAAAAAAGTGTCAGAACTGTCTTCGGACAGTCCGAAGTTGCAAAAAGTCAGTCGGACGGTCCCGTTCTAGACAGGTGGACCGTCCACTTCGTTTTAAGCGGACTGTCCGTCAAAATCGTAAAATGCAAAATGGTTACGCGCCCTTAGGGGACGATTTTCAACCGAACACTGTAGAAACGGTTAGGCGCTGACCACCACCCCCAAGGGGGCGCTCTTGTGTTTATCCATTCCACCTCCACGGGATTAGGTACATGATGTGTGGTGCCACAACTCACGAGTGTAATAGCCTTCATCATCGGCCTGCACGCAAAAACCTAGCGGACCAACACGGCTTATGGAAGTGCGATTATCGCAAGTAGCGTTACCACCTAGGAAGCTGAGATCGTGAGCGATAATGGCGACGGGGCTCGACGAGCAGGCAATGGACGAGCGCGCGCGCGACGGGTCGACATGGACGGCAGCGGAGGACAAACTATTCGAGACGCTGCTCGTCGACATGGACGCGCCGCCCGACGCCGCTGCAGCGGACGACGCGCGGTGGGAGGCGATCGCGGCGAAGCTTCCGGGAAAGACGGCGGACGAGGTGCGGCGGCACTACGAGGTGTTGGAGGAGGATATTCGCGGCATCGAGAGCGGCCGCGTGCCGCTGCCTGCATTCGATGCCAATGGCGCGTACGTCCTTGCGAGTGCTGACGTCAAGGACGAGCCGATGACGTCAGCGGGATCTCCGCGAGACGGGTCAGGCGCGGAGGCGTCGGGGGCGCGGAAGGCGTCGGCGGGGAGCGCGGGCGCGGGGAAGGAGAAGCAGGCGTCGCCTGCGGGTCAGTCGCAGCAGCAGGCGTCGTCGCAGCAGCAGGCGTCGCAAGGGGCCGCGGCGCAGCAGGCGCGGGGGTCGGAGCAGGAGAGGCGGAAGGGCATCCCGTGGACCGAAGAGGAACACAGGTGCGCGGCATGGGGAATGCGGATGGGGAAGGACGCAGGCGCGCGCCGCGCTATGTGCAGGAGGAGGGGGATGGCGAGGGACGCAGGCGCGCGCTATGGACAGGTGGAGGGGGGAGGGGGACGAACAGGTGCGCGCTTTGTGCAAGAGGGGGGGGTTGGAGGAACGCAGGTGCGCGCTGTGGGCAGCTCGCTGGGGTCGTACTGTGGCCAGGGAAGGGCGGGGCGACGCTAGTTCCATGCTAGTTGCCGTGCAATGCTGTGCTGTGCTGTGCGGTGCTGTGCCGTGCCATGCCGTGCCGTGCCATGCCGTGCTGTGCCGTGCTGTGCTGTGCTGTGCTGTGTTGTGTTGTGCTGTGCTGTGCTGTGCTGTGTTGATTTTTTTGGGGGGATGAAATACACTGTGTAATGTATACATCCACAGTCGTAACTGAGCTGTGCTGTGCTGTGCTGTTCTGTGCCGTGCCGTGCAATGCTGTGCTGTGCTGTGCGGTGCTGTGCCGTGCCATGCCGTGCCGTGCCATGCCGTGCTGTGCCGTGCTGTGCTGTGCTGTGCTGTGTTGTGTTGTGCTGTGCTGTGCTGTGCTGTGTTGATTTTTTTGGGGGGATGAAATACACTGTGTAATGTATACATCCACAGTCGTAACTGAGCTGTGCTGTGCTGTGCTGTGCTGTGCTGTTCTGTGCCGTGCCGTGCCGTGCTGTGCTGGGACGGCTGTGCTGTGCTGTGCTGTGCTATTGTACTGTTGTGTGGTGTTTTGTCAGCACAACACCCAGTGCACGCCCTCACACATATTCCCCCATATCTCCTCCTTGCTGATGCTTGCTTCTGCCCACGCCTCTCCTCTCATGCCCACGCCTCTCCTCTCATGCCCATCTCTCATGCCCCTCCTCTCATGCCCCTCCTCTCATGCCCATCTCTCATGCCTCTCCTCTCATGCCCATGCCTCTGCACCCCCCTTCAGGCTCTTCCTGCTGGGGCTGGCCAAGTTTGGCAAGGGCGACTGGCGCAGCATATCGCGCAACTTTGTCATCTCGCGCACGCCCACGCAGGTGGCGTCGCACGCGCAGAAGTACTTCATCCGCCTGAACGCCATCAACAAGGACAAGCGCCGCTCCTCCATCCACGACATCACCTCCGTTGCCGCTGCTCAAGGCGCTGCCGGCGACGCAGGCCAGCAGCAGAGCGGCCCGATCACAGGGCAGCCGGCAGGGGCTGCTAGTGGGGGAGCGCAGCAGGCGCTGCAGCACCAGCACGCGCATGCCCATGCCCATCCTCATGCTCACACACACGCCCAAGGGGTGCCGTCCCACGGGCAGCCCATGCCGCCTGCCTCTGCTGTGTTTGGCCCGCCGGTAGGGGCGCCGCCCATGGGGCACGTGCACCACGGCATGATGCCCATGCCGCCCGCCCCCGGGCACCCCGCGTATGGCCCGCGCACCCACCTGGCGCGGCCTGTGGTGGCGGCACATGGCATGCCCCTCCCCCACATGGGCTACGTGCAACCCCCCGCCATGCACCATTGATGTGCAGCCCCCTGCCATGCACCACTGATGAGGCATGCGGCACTCGCAGGGCGCACTGCACTGAGGCGCGTGCAATAGTGACTTTGGGAGTGCACTGGTATGGCAGAGTTATCATGGTCTGCGGGATAGCTGTGGCCTGTGCCTGTCTACTGTAAAACTGCCTTGCTGCTCAAGGCAGGCCCATCCGTCCATGGTAGCGATCTGCAGCTTGCCACAGGGTTGCTTGTACCCACCAGCCATCGGGGTGAGAAGCAGGGAGAGCACCAGCCATCGGTAAGTTCATTTCCTCTCCATGCAACAGTGGAGGGAGTAGTGCTATAGCAGTTCATCTAATAGAATTGTAGCATGTTGCTGTTTCATGTTCAACAGTTGCTGTAACAGTGGGTAAAGGGTTCTTTTTTTCTTAGGTTGATGACAATGCATGCTTGAGTTGTACGGTAATTGTAAAACGTGTTGGCCTTGTTTGCTTATGCATGTACAAATTCACCTGGTCAGTACACCTGGGAGTACGTCTAAACTAATTTCTTCAGAACAAGTACAGCGGAATAAATGAACTAGGTTACAAATAGGGAATCCTAAAAGGGGTTGTACCCTCCAAAAAGCACCTCAATGTAGCCTAAGGATTTAACATGCACATATGTTTATAATCTGGCGCACCCCCATAGGCTAGGTGAGGGGCATGAAATGAGCAAGACAAGCAACAACTCAGGCCTGATCAGCTAGTCCAACCGCTGAGACCAGGGACGTTGCTAGTTAAAAACCCCGTCTGAGAATCAGACCTGAAAAAAATCCTTCGTCTGAGCATCAGATGATTTTTTACAGCTAGTCTGAAAATTCAGACGAATTTGTTTCCCAAGTCTGTAAATCCAAATGAAAAAAAACACACGTCTAAGAGTATTTAAAGAACAAATGTTGAACTTCTTTTCAAAGAGCGCATGCCTTCGTAGTGGAGAAACGGCTTGAATCTAGATAGTGATGGCAGATCTGCCTGTAGTAGAGCTGAGGATCTCCCCCTATGCAGCAGGAAATCTCCTTAGGTGAGTGAAAACACACGTCAGAATGCAATCTGACGCGTCAGAATGTGTCAGAAGATTTTGACGCGTCAGAATGTGTCAGACGAAACAATTCCCGTTCTGTGAATTCAGACGAAGAAGTGTACAAGGAAGTCTGAAAAATCAGATGAAAAATATTATACAAATACCGTATTCTCCCGGATAAAACACCCCCCCGTAATTGTACACCCCCGGGTAGCTAATACGGGGTGGGTGTTATATCCGACCCCGCTTGTACTATACCCCCCTTTTGGGGTGATTTTGTATAACACCCCCCCTTTTCTTATAGATTCCTATTATAGCTGTTATCGAGTCCGATTCCTTCCGGGAGGATATCGCGAGAATTGCTCCCTAGGTGAAATTTCGCGTGTAGTTTCACTTAAAATCTGCCAAGATTTCCCCCCTCCCACAATCTCGCTGTCGCCACGCTGGCGAATCTTCCGCTGCAAGTGGCCCCATGTGCTGGCAACGCATCGACACGAAATCGGGAATTAGGGGTTTCGTTACGATACAGAACGGTTTAGGGTTAACTTTTGAGCAAATGGTATCCAAAGGTCCCCACTGTTGGGCTGAGATGCCCTAGGGTCTTTGTAGAGTTAAAGTCTAAGTAGGATTGTAATAGCGGAAGCGTTTGAATGAAAAAGTCCTTGAACCACCTTGCGCTAGTATGTGAGGGCAAAGTAAGTTAATTAAAACAAGCAAATACAAGGCTTTATATAAGAGTACAAGGAATACGAATAGATATAATTAAACTGTTTTGCTGTTGCGATTCGATACAGTGCGACTCGGGCAACTGCTCAATGTCGAGTCAGTTGTGTGTCCTTGCTGTCGCGCTGTATTTGTCAAGTCAAAGGTCGCTGACTTTTGACCTTCGCGTAACCTCCAGGCGGTTACCTTAACCTCCGAGGGTTGACTCGCGATGCTTCGATTTGGACTGCTTCGCTTGTGTCCTGAGTTTCAACAGGACAGAGGCGCTTTAAGACTTATTGTTCCCAACACTCCCCTTCGCTTCTGGAGTGTCGTTAATGATGACGTGGCCTTGTCCAGTCAGCAGCATGCAGTACTCGAACTTCTGTTTTCCGAGTTTCTTTGTCAAGTAATCGGCTGCCATCTCGGACGTGGGACAGTAGGATAATTCGAGTTTCCCTTCAGCTGAAGAGAGAGCGATTAGTTCCTGCTTGCTCGACTGCCAGGAGATAGGTCCGATAGGCTCGAGACGATAGACGTAGCCAGTGCGAGAGCGCCTATTGTCGGAATCGCCGGCATGATCGGCATCGACGTAGCCGATTAGTTTCGTGGTCGTAGTTTCGTTTTTGTAGTAAGTCAGGCCGATCGTCGGAGTGCTCACGAAGTAGTGTAGTGCGCGATCGAGCTCCGCCAGATGCTCTGCTTCGGATTTCTTGAGGTAGGTAGCGAGTTGGCTTGCGGAGTAAGATAGATCCGGGCGGCAGGTGACGGCTGCGAAGAGGAGGCAGCCCAGTTTCCTCTGGTAGTCTCGTATTCCGGCAGCCTTGAGTGGAGCGGAATTTCCTTTGTTACTTCCTGCCGTGTAGCGGTATGGCGTGGCGATAGCGGTAGGTGTGAGCGAGAAGCGCTTGGAGATAGTGTCGGCGTATTTCTCGGCGCTTAAGTAGATAGCATTTTCTTCTTCGCGGATGTTGAGTCCGAGGTACTGGGTGACGGTAGGAGAAACCGTGAGCGTGAGGTCCTTCTGCAGCTCCCCTTCGAACCAGGTGGTGATGTCGTCGGTGGAGCCGATGTAGAGTAGGTCGTCGACGTAGACGATCAGTAGGATGTAATCGGCGTCTTTAGTGAATCGATACATTCCTTGGTCGTGCGGCAGTTGGCGGAATCCGATGCGAGTGAGTCGGGTGTGTGGGTGCTGTTGCCACAGCCGCGGGGCTTGTTTGACTCTGTAGAGCGATTTCAGTAGCTGGCAGACCTGATTGGGGTTTCCATGGGTACCGTGTGGGAGTTCGACGAAGATTTCGGCGTCGACGGGTGCGTAGAGAAATGCGTTGGTGACATCGATTTGTCGCAGTTTCTTCTTCTTCATGGCGGCAGCGGCGAGAAGAATTCGAAGAGAGGTATGTCGACTAACTGGGGCGAATGTCTCGGTGAAGTCTCGTCCTTGCTCTTGGTCGAATCCACGCACGACCCAGCGTGCTTTGAACTTCTCGATTGTGCCGTCCGCTTTCTTTTTGATGCGGAAGACCCATTTCCCGGTGAGAATGGTCTTGTTCCTTGCCACGCTTGCGGGAACGACCTTCCAAGTGTTGCGTTCCTCCAGTGCCTTTAACTCTCTGTCCATGGCTTCGCGCCATTTCTCCCTGTGTTCCCCCCCCAGAGCCTGCTGAACCGTCGCAGGCTCCTTAGGAAGTGCGTTGTCGTGGACTGCGGTGACGATGCCGAGGATTTGCAGTCCAGTCTTTGAGTATCGGGGGAGTGTTGGATCCTCGGGATAAGCTGCTTCGTCTCCCGCTTCTGGATCGGGTATGAAATTTGGCCCTATCCGTTCTGCTTCGTTTGTGTTGACTGTCGCAGGTGTTACGTAACCGTTGTCGGCGAAGTGATAGAAGACTTCGCCGTTGGCACTGTCGCGAGGATTGTCTTCGTCCATGGGCACGTCGACGGAGTAGTACGGGAGAGGTCCGGTTTCTTCCGATGCGTTGTCGACGTTCTGTTCATCCCAGTCTGCTTCGTCCGCTGCTGAGGCGAAGGCTCGGTCACCACGAAAACCACCTGTGGGGTCTTGATTCTCGTGCAAGTTGGCGAGGTACGTTTGAAGGGTGAGTCGCTCGTAGAAGATCACATCACGTGCTGCTACTGTTTCGTTTGAGTGGACATCAAAAATTTTCCACGCGTTGTAATTTTTCTCGATGCCGAGGTGTAGTCCCCACTGTGCCCGTTGTGAAAATCTTACCGCTCGTGCTTCTGGGGGTCGGTACTGCACCATGCATCCGAAAACTCGTAACATTCTTGTGCTGCCCTGCTTTCCTGTCCATAGCAGATGCGGTGATGCGTTGTTCGGGAGTGACGACGACGACAGCAAGTTGTGCAGCATGACAGCATGGTCCATTGCTGCAGGCCACTGGTGGTTGGGTAGCCGCATGCCACGTAGCATTTTGCGCATGCTGTTCTGCAGAGTCCTGTTCATTCTTTCTGCAACACCTTGCTGCTGATGGGCGTAGGGAAGGGAGAGAAGTTGCTTGATTCCCCTTTCCGTCAGGTACTGCTTGAAGCGCTGAGAGGTGTATTCTCCTCCTCCGTCTGACTGGAAGCTTTTCAGCTGTGTTCCTGACTCCCTCTCTGCTACCGGTAGCCAAGCGGCGAATTCTGGGAGTGCCATGTCGCGGATGGGTAGGTTTCGATGCCAGACGTATCGAGTGGCGGCGTCGATGAAGGTTATTGTGTAATTGTAGGTGACTTGTCCTGGTTCTCGATTGAAGAAGATGTCGCTGTATACTTTCTCGAGTGGTGCGTATGCAGGTGCGCTCGGGTTGTGGTGAGAAGAAAACGATCGATGGGGTAAGTCGGCTTCGGGGCAGATGAGACAAGTTCCTCGTGCCCGTTGAAGTTCTCTGCCGTCGGGTAGTAGTAGCGAATCTTTGTCGAGGACTCCTGCTCGTATTGTGTTATTCAATACTGTGTTGCTTGGATGTCCTGTGCGTGCGTGCCAGATGTCTTCAGGAGCGCGATGTCCGGGTGAGCGTTGATACGCGTCGGAGTTGGAGTAGAAGCTGGCAACGACATTGGCGCTTCTGTGGACTTCTCGTTGAGTCGGGTTCAGTTGCTGTGCGGGTGTTGGTGGTGCTTCGTGGACGATGACTGGTGTCGTTGGTCCTGCTGCTGCCGATGATGTTTCTGCTGCTGTCGATGTTGTCTCTGCTGCTGCCGATGTTGTTTCTGCTGCTGCCGATGTTGTCTCTGCTGCTGCCGTTTGTTGAA